ATGTTACATAAAAAGAAAAATAGATAAATTGGACCTTATCACAATTAAAAACTTTTGGTATTCAAGAGACACCACTAAGAAAATGAAAAGACATTCTACAGACTGGGAGTATATCTATTTGTAAATCATATAGGGAAATGCAAATTAAAAGTCCAATGAGATACCATTGTATACCCACTAGGTTATCAGTCTGAAAGAAGCCAGGAGCAAGGCTATGTAATGTATGATTCCATTTATATGAAATTTCCAGAAACTGGAAATCTATAGAGGCAGAAAACACAGTGGTGGTTGCCTGGCACTGGAGGTAGGAGCAGGGTTTGCAGATGGGCCCAAAGGAACTTTCTGTGGTGATAGAAATGTGGCACTGGGTTACAGTTATCATTGTGTACAAATTTGCCAAAAATCACTGAATTGTATACTTGCATCTGGGTAATTATTTATTTATTTGTATTGTGATTTGGGTGAAAGTTTACTGAACAAATTCACTTTCTATACAGTAGCTCACATACACTTTGTCTCATGACATTGACTTCAATTTCCCACAATGCAACAACACCCCTCCCACTTCCTCCCCATAGTTACCTCTTCCCTGTGTCCTTCCCTCCATGCACTCCTGCCCTCTGATATGTCTCCCTGTGCATACACAGCCCTTCTTTTTCCCATGATTGTTCTCTCCAAGGAGTGTATCTACCTAATGTAAATGTTTACCTCTTATGCCTGTTTTTTGTTTGGCTGCAAGCCACAGATGTGGGTTCAGTTCCAGACCTAAAGCACAGCTAGGGGCCATGGTTTCAGTGGTTCCACCAGGCTGTATCAGAGCAACAAACCTGGTCCCCCCCCCGCCTTTTTTTTTTTAATGATTTTGAATTTTGTTCCACATTGTTCTTCTACTCTATTCAGGATCTCCTACATAGATCTCCCTCTGAGTGGTTGACAGTGGTAGCCAGGCACCATCTAGTTCTTCTGGTCTCATAGTCGTATAGGCTGAGGATCACATGGTGTACCAGTCGTTTGGACTAATTGTTGATTTTCTTCATTCTTTACTATGGATGAGGAGAGACCCATCGTTGCATCTAGATGGCCGCTTGCAAGCTTTTAAGATCCCAGTCACTACTCACCAAAGTAAGATGTGGAACATTGTTTTGGGTAGTATGTTATGCCAATTGAGCTTGATGTCCCCTGTGACTATGGCCCCAAGCTCACAGGTCCAAGTACTCACTCTGTCTGGGTAGCTGGCTGTGGCCAAGAAGTGATTACAACTTTGTCCCTTGTCGGCTCTAGTATATACCTGGGAATTCTTACAGAACATAGCAATACACTTGTAAAAACATGTCTGCCAACCCTGTACATGTTCTTGGGCGCACTACCCCCTGCATAGACATATGTAATAGTTCAGCCTGTCCACCCATCTATCCACCCGTATATCCATGTTCGCCTTCGCAAGTGGGTAATTTTATAGTGTGTAAATTATACCTCTATAAAGCTGGTTTTTTTTTTTTTTTTTTTTTTGAGATACACATTGCATCAGTCAGAGTTCAACCCAAGAAGGAAAACTAGTAGAAGATGGAGATAGAAATGGATGTATTACAAGGCTGTCATAAGTGGCGATTCAGAAAAGGAAGAGCAATTGTAGACCCAAGTGCTATTTGTAGTTTGAGTCAGGGAATGCCCAAAACTTTTTTTTAAAAAAGGGCTTCCAATGCAGTCCTCAGCCTGTAGACTATGCGACCAGAAGAACTAGATAGTGCCTGGCTACCACTGTCAACCACTCAGAGGCGGATCTATGGAGGAGATCCTGGATAAAAAAAGGGAGAACAATGTGGAACAAAACTAAAAATCTTAGGGCAAAAAAAAAACAACAAAAAAAAGGGGACCAGGTTTGCTGGTCTGATCGAGCCTAGTGGAACCACTGAGACTATGGTCCCTAGCTACCCTTCAGGTCTGGAATTGAACCCACACCTGGGGCTTCTAGCCAAACAAAAGACAGGCATATGAGTTGAACTTTTACCTGAGGTAGATACACTCCTTGGAGAGAACAATCATGGGAGAAAGAAGGGCTATTTATGGACAGGGAGACAATTCAGGGTGCAAGAGTGCATGGAGGGATGGACACAGGGAAGAGGTAACACGAGGAAGTGGGGGGGAGCTGTTGCATTGGGATAAATTGTAGTGAATGTCATGAGACAGTGTGTGTGTGAACTGCTGTATGGAAAGTGAATTTGCTCTGTAAACTTTTGCCCAAATCACAATTTAAAAAAGAGAGAGAGAGAGAGAAAAAAAAAAGGCTTCCAGTAATTGAGTCAGGTTCATCCAGGATAATCTCTCTAGATTAAAGCCAACTGACTCAGGACTTGAATTACATCTGCAAAATCCTTCACAGTGACAGCTAAATTAGTGTTTGATTGATAAACTGGGAGAAGATGTGTGTATGACACAAAAGACTGCTGTTCTCCTTCCAGTTTTTGTAGTTTGGCCTAGCCAAAGAGACACATCAAGAAACCATCTGCAGGGGAGGTTCACTCTTGATTAGGGCAGACGGAAGAATACTCATGGAGCCAAAGGTACTTGGGACATGCTTTTTATTTGCACAGCATTTAGCAGGACCCTGTTGCTGGTGCTTGGAAAGTCCCCTTCTCTCTTTTCTAGCCTAGCTCACAATAGTGGCATAGTGCCCAAGTGTAAGTTACATAAGAATTTATATATAGTTATAGTGAGTTATATAAGAATTGCATCATCCTAATACGGCAGTGGTGTTATATAACTGTGTCTTAGCATATGTGCAGTAGAAGTGGAAGGGTGAGGGAGCCTGATACTACTGCTTCCCTATTGGAGAGCTCTGGCCTCACACCATCGTATAAGTATTTTGCTTTTCACGAAAAAATAGTTTGCTTTTAGAAGCTACCAGAAAGTTTTATTCACTCAGATGGTATTTTTAGAGTACCACTATGTACAAGACAGAGTACTCTCATTAAAATAATAAAAATAATAATTTTTATGTGGTGACTGACATATACCAAAACCAAACCCTCTGTCAAAGAGTGATTCTATCTCATATCAACCCTATAGGACAGAGTAGAACTGACCGATAGACTGTAATCTTTACAGAAACAGACTGCCCCATCCTTCTCCCAAGGAGCCATGAACCCATGGTGGGTTCAAACCATGGACCTTTTGGTTAGGAGCCAGGCATTTTAACTACTGCACTACCAGGGCTCCTTACTGGCACAGAGGGGTGCTCAAACATTTGTTGAATGAGTATGCTATCAATGCCATACCAGGATTTATTCGTTCCCCCATTTTATTTGGGCACATAGTATTTATGTAGGCTATACTCATCGGAAGGAAGGTTGGTCAATCTACTTCCTTAGTGATACTGCCACAGAAACCCAAGGAGGGATCGCTATGAGTCAGATCCAACTCGACGACAAATAACAACAACAACAACAATGTCATTTGGGTGGAATATGCATTGTGCAGCCTCCGATAGCACATTTCTTGCCCCAAGCATATTCCCAAAGTTGAAAAAAAAATAAATTTATTATTATTATTTATTAATAATAAATTCACACTTTAACTCATTCAATTTTGCCAAAGATTTCCTGAAAGAAAAGTACTGTATAAACAAATAGCATATGTAGAAGACTCTAAGCTACAATATTTAGAGGAAGTCACAATGTGGACACTTGAAAACTTGATCTTCCTCTGAGAGCCAGTAAATATTTATTTTCTAGCTGATCCAAATTTCCAGTCTTGGAGTTCTCCATAATTTGAAGATCCTGATTCATTAGCCCTCTTTGCAAAGGAAGGTTGTTAGGTAAAAATCTCACTCATCTACTCTCCATTTAACTTGAGTATGAATTATTGTTGTGACAGCTCGGGCGGTGCTCAGCAACTGCCTCTCTAGGCAACCTTCTCCATGTCCCTCCGCTGCGGCCTTTGGCCCGGGACAGTTTCCGTGGCGACGACTTTGTTTCTGCGCAGAGATCAATCCTCGCTATCTGCTTGGTGGGAGCTGGTGGGGTACCGGTTTAGGAGGGTTTCAGCCCTCTTTATCCTCCTTCCTTCCACCAGAGAAGAAACTGGTTGGACGTTTTCCTCTCCTCTGCGTAGCCAGGCAGTGCTGAAAAACAGACAGGTACTTTCTTGTCCTCCACTTTCCCCCTCTCTTTCAGGGCAGCCCATCGCGATTTGGGTCCAGCAGAAATGCCTTCACTTTCACGGCAGTAGTCTCCAAATTCAAGGACTCTGGTGGCATACTGCCTAAGGCATTTGACTGCTAACCAGAAGGTTTGTGGTTCAAAACGACCAGTTGCTCTGCGGCAGGAAGACAGGACTATCTACTTCCATGAAGGTTTACCGCCTCAGAAACCCAATGGGGGTGGCTAGGAGCGGGAATCTTCTTGATTGAAGTTTTTTTTTTTTTTTTGTTTGTCAACCTCCAAATTCCGTGGGGACCTCAGGAAATGCAGTTGGTTCCACTGTTACGTTTTCAGTATTTACATGGCATTTTAAATTTGATTTGCAATGCATTCAGTATGCCTATTTTTGCCAGAGAGATGTTTTGTGTGTGTGTGTGTGTGTGTGTGTGTGTGTGTGTGTATAAATTTTGGTATTTCAAAATATAAATAGTTATAAAAATCAGCTCTTTTTGGGATATACCTTAATAGTTGGATTTTTAACTTTATTATTATTATTATTTGATTTGCATTTTAGGGATGGATATTTAGGGAGCATCTAATCTGTTTCTGTAATTTAATCCCTAAGGAAACTGATACAACTGAAAGTGACTTGTTCATTTCTTCATAGCAAGTGGATGGTAGAGATCTAACAAGAATCCCTCCTTATCCTCCTTCTTATCTTAACTGGTGTTCTTAAGACTATTAGTATACTTGGGAGGAAGATCTATAAGAATTTTATTTTTGATATTGACATGTAAGATAAGTTATAAATATATCGAAGTTTATTTTATAATAATGGATTTATGGACTTTTTCTCCTCAGAGTATAGAGTATTTTAATCTGTAGGGAACCAAGATGTCAGATGAAAACAAAGCTGCCATTGCAGCAGAAAAAGAGGCTCTGAACTTGAAGTTACCCCCTATTGTTCATCCACCAGAAAACATAGGTGTGAATACACCATCACAAAGTAAGCTGCTCAACTATAGAAGATCTAAGGAGCAGCAGAAGACAATTAATCAGTTAGTGTAAGTAACATATCAGTAAATAATTCTTGCTCTCAATTCATTTGAAGGGGTAAGTTCATATTCTCATAAAAAGCCTTAACTCTGAAGGCTGATTCAGGGACAAACTACCATCTTCAAGTTCAATTAGGGAAACAATTGAAAAATAATCATAGTAGTGAAAAATACTATAGAGTGCTTACTCTGGCCATGTGTTGTTCTCATCACTTTATCTATACTATTTGTTTATTGCTCACAACAACCCTATAAGGTAGGTACTATTGTTATCTCTATGTTATGGATGAGGAAACTGAGGTACAGAGAAGTTAAGTAACTTGCCCGAGGTCATACAGCTAGAAAGCAATAGAGCTGGGGTTTGGACTTAGATAGTTTGGTTCTAGAGTTCACATTCTTTAGGCTCCTCACAAACCAGACTGATCCCTGACAGTAAAACCATGTCATTGGGCTTTTGAATTGTGGTGTTGGTGAAGAATTCTGAAAGTACCATGAACTGCCAAAAAAACAAACAAATCTGTCCTGGAAGAAGTGCAGCCAGAATGCTCCTTGGAAGTAAGAATGGCCAGACTTCGTTTCACTTACTTTGGTCATGTCGTCAGAAGGGACCATTTTCTGGAGAAAGATACCATGCTTGGTAAAGTAGAGGCTCAACAAAAAAGGGGAAGGCTCTCAACAAGATGGATTGACACAGTGGCTACAATGACAGGCTCAGGTGTAGCAGGGATAGTGAGGCTGGCACAGGACTGGGCCATGTTACATTCTGTTGTATATAAGGTCGCTATGAATCAGAGATGACTCAACAGCATCTAACAACAACAACAGATAGCATTTCACTTGAACAAAAAGTAAAATATCTCAGAAGGACTTGTATTTAAATGGTTTTCTATTTAACATACAACCTAATCCAGCCCCCATCCTCATCACTTAATAAAAATTAAAACTAATTTAGGTATCAACTGTCAAAGGTTGTGCATGGTTCAGTTCAATTCAACAAACAACTACTGAGAATTTCCTAGGTACCTGTCTCTGCTGCACTCTGGGATAAATAAGAAAAAGACATGGCTCTCATTTAGGAAAGTCCAACCCAACCTTAAACTGTAAAATGAGGAGCTCCTCTCTGGTGTAGTTCTTTTTGCTTCCTGTCTCCTTTCTCTTCTTGGTCTGCCTCATTTTAAACATTTTTCTGCCTAATTTTTATTGTCTTTTACATTATCGATGATCATATTGTTGCCAATTTAATAATTTAAATTTTTGCAAAATTTACCTTTTATGGGGGGGTAATCAAATAATTTTTTTTTTTTTTAAATTGTCATTTGGGTGAAAATTTACAGAGCAAATTCACTTTCCATATAGCAGTTCACATACATTTTGACATTGACTACAATTTACCCCAATGCAATAGCTCCCCTCCCACTTCCTCCCAATAGTTACCTCTTCCCTGTGTCCATCCCTCCATGCACTCCTGCCCCCTGAGCATACATAGCCCTTCTTTCTCCCATGATTGTTCTCTTCAAGGAGTGTATCTGCCTCAGGTACATGTTCAACTCTTGTGGCTGTCTTTTGTTTTACTGGAAGCTACAGGTGTGGGTTCAATTTCAGACCTGAAGGGCAGCTAGGGGCCATTGTTCCACCAGGCTCTATCAGACCAACAAACTTGGTCCCCCCTCCCTTTTTTTTCCCCAAATGATTTTGAGTTTTGTTCCACGTTGTTCTCCCTCTCTATCCAGGATCTCTTCCATAGATCCCCCTCTGAGTGGTTGACAGTGGTAGCCGGGCACCATCTAGTTCTGGTCTCATAGTCTTATAGGCTGCAGATCACATGGTGTAGCAGATGCCAGGACTAATTGTTTTCATGAATCTTTGGTTTTCTTCATTCTTCTTTGCTCTGGATGAGGAGAGACCCATTGTTGCATCTAGATGGCTGCTTGCAAACTTTAAAAATCCCAGTCACTACTTGCCGAAGTAGGAGGTGGAACAATGTTTTATGTAGTATTTTATGCCAGTTGAACTCAATGTCCCCTGTGACTATGGTCCCGAGCCCACTGGTTCAACTGCTTGGTCTGTCTGCTTAGCTGGCTGTGACCAAGAAGTGAGTACAACCTTGTCCCTTGTCAGCTCTATTATACACCTGGGAATTCTTATAGATCATACAAGTACACTTACAGGACCACTGTCTGCCAACCCTATACATGGTCTTGGGTACACTCCCGGCTACATAGACATGCCTAATAGTTCAGCCTGTCCACCCATCTTTCCACCTGTATACCAATGCTTGCCTTCACTCACAACGTAGTACTGTAAAAGGGTTCATCTTTGTTGTCTGTACTTCCCGTGCACCTCTCTATGTCTTCATCTTCCTCAGTGCCACCATGTTGATCACTCACATCTCTTCACCCAAATCAATACTTATCTCTACCTATATAACAGTGTTCCTACCTCTCCCCTCCCACCCCTGGTAACCACAAAGAAAATTTCCTTCCATAGATAAACCTTTCCTTGACTTTTACAATAACAGACTAATACAATATTTGTCCTTCTGTGATTGACTTATTTCATTCAGCATAATG